ATAGCGCTTGATTAAACTTTCTGCAAGGAGCAGAGAAGAGCTGAGCAGAGCAGAGCGATGCAGGGCGGGCACAATTTGAGGCTGACAACTATTATCCTTGCTTTGGCAGCGCTGAAGCCAGTCGCCAGTCGTGGCTTTGCTATTTACCTTTTAATTTTCGTTGCATAAATCTGGACGACCAACTCAGTTACAGCAATTCATTAGCGACTGCTAGGCAAAGGGGAGATTGAGCGGGTTTTTGGACCAAAACTTTTTCGTTTCAAATTTCAAAATGCATTGAAGTGCCGCCAGTATAACTTTTGGTTTCGCTCTCTCACTCACTCTCCCCCTCTCTCTCTCTCTTTTGCTGTTGCTCTCTCTTTGCTAATTGTATAAGTTGGCTTGGTTGAGTGTCAGCAAAAGGTCGAGCAACTTGCGCCAATTGAGCAAAATGTAATTAGTTTGCGCGACAAAGCGAAGCAGCTATAGCCAAGCAGAGAGAGAGAGAGAGAGCAAAAGAGAGAGGGAGAGAGCGAGAGTAGAACGAATCAAATGCACATCTAGAGCTGATCTAATGTGGCTTTAAGGCAGCTTTGCGCCGGATTTGCAGCTCTTCAAACATTTTTGGCTGCCTTTTTGCGGGCTCATACGCTGACAATTTCAAGCACTTAGCAAAAATAGCAACTATTAAATATGCATAAACGACGCAACGCCGGGTCGCGCCCATTAAATTGCCAACAAGCCACACACACAGACACACACGCACACATTCCCTGAGAGCTAGGCGTGTGATGTGGTTGCCACACTTTAAACACAGCTTTGCATACATTTGGGCAACAACAAGGACGACGACGGCTGCTGCTCCTGCTACTCCTGCTGCGGCTGCTGCTGCTGCTGCAGCGTCAGCTAGAAAACAAAAGCCGTAGCCAGGAAATTTCTTTTGGGTGCCCAGCCTTAAGCCAGAGTGAGCGCGTGCTTGGCACAACGTCACATAAATTTGCATACAAGCTCACATGTACGTACCCACACACACACACACGCACATATATATATAGAAATATACATGTATATATGTATATATTTATATAGAAGAAAGTAAGCGACAGGCTGCAGCACCCGCCCCCTCTCGCTCGTCCTTGTGTGTTGAGTAAACGCAGGCACTGTATAACGAAAAGCTTTTAAAATATGCCGACGCGACACCTACAACAGTAAATTTGATATGCTTGCAGCTTAAATATTTACACACACACACTCGCACATACTAGACTAGCACACATCAAGCTTGAAGACATTAAAAGCCAGCGGCATGATAATAAAATCTTTATTTAATTGTATAAATTGTGGCAACTAACTAAGCAGCCAGCGCGACCAGCAACAACAGCAACAACAGCTACAACAACAACAACAACAGCAAMAGACAAAGCGAGCAACACATGCCAAACACATCAGCATCATAAAAATGAAGTTAATTTTAATTAAAATGCATGACAAAAGTGCGTGCGTCTGTGTGTGTGTGTATGTGTGTGTGTGGCATAACTGCTGAATCATAAAGCGTCGCTCGATGCTCACACACAAGCAAGAGTTATGTGTGTGCGTGTGTGATGCGTGGTTGGTTTAATTTTAATTGTCAACCCTTTGGCTGTCATTTTTATGGCGCTGACAGGCGCGTTGCTGTTGCTGTTGTTGTTGCTGTTGCTGTTGTTGCTTCCGATGGGTGTCAAATTATAGGCCATAATTGTCAATATTTGCGCCTTTTTATGCTAAGCAAAATAACAACGAAAACAGAAAGCAACAACAACAACAACAACAATGGTCGGGGCATTATGGAACCATGCATAAAATCTAATAATTACACTGGCAACAAAAAGTACACAAACCTTTGCCCATGCTAATCAACTTCTTGCGCGCTTAGCGCAAATAAGTAGGCAACACAATTTTGAATTATTTAATAATGCAAATAGACCATGCTGCAGCACAGGGTATACAAAAATAGGCTTGAGGGAGAACTTCAGCCTACAACAGGTGAAATCAAAGACTCGAGGCAATTCTTTAATTGAAAAGCATATCAAATGCAATTGCTACAGGGTAGCTGGCAGTCGTGCGCTTCTAGTTATCTGGCAGTCAGATCTAAAAATTTATGACAGCCACTGCGGTTCTGCGGTGCTTAATGCGTGCGAGCAGCTGCCGTGTCACGGGTTACCGCCAAGGCGGACAAAATCCTTTAAATAAAAATAAAAAAAAAAAAAAACAACAGAAAAAAAAAAAAACAATTTATGCCAACATTTTTGTGGCACAACGACGCTGGGCGATGTGGCAGCTGTATTGGTGGTGGTGTGCTACCTTTTTCATCAGAGTGTTTAACAAAGTGCTAATTTAAAAAGTTCACCAAAGCGGCAACAACAATGGGTGGGAGCAGCACCATAACAATAAGGCGGCTGCTACCTTTGTTGTTGGGGGTGTGTCTGTGTGTGTATGTGTGTGGGTGTGCACAACAAAAGTAGGAAAATAGCAAAAATTGCTAATTAAAAATTTATATGAAGTTAGCAGTAATAGAATTTTTAATTATAGCCAACTCATGCGCGGGCAGCCAAACAGCAACAACAGCAACAACAACAACGACAACAGCAACAACAATAATCAGCGGAAGCAACGTAAGCAGCGGAAGTGTGGAATGAACAATTTTGAGGTCAGAGGGTAAGCCTTTTTGCTGTTGCTGCTTTTGCTGCTGCTGCTACTCCTCCTGCTGCTCCTGCTGCTGCATTCGATAGGCATAGGCTCTGGCAAATATCCTGCGCCACGTTCGCCTGCCAGCTAATGGGCTCTAATGAAAATTTAAATGCTCTCATCAGAATCAAAGCGCTCCCATCAGCTAGAGCCACAAATTTTGTTACATTTAATCGACAAGCATTAAAATCAATGACGTAAATCTATCAATTTATCAGCTCAGTCATGCGTGTGTGTGTGTGTTTGTGAGCAAGACAAGCTGCAAGTTGCAATTACAACTGACTGCTAATTAAATATTCACATAAAATGTTCACAGAACTGCAAAACCACAAATTTGCAAATGAAATATAACCCAATAAAACTTGCCTTTTGTTTATCGAATCATAGCTAAAATGCATTAGATTTATAAGAAATTTTGTGGATAGCAGATAAATAAAAGCGAGTTAAGTCAAGCTCGAGTTTAAGACTTTTATATATTGAAGACAAGATTTTCAGCAAAATATTTAATTAAATTTTAGCAGCGCAATAGAGACTAGAGGTGGAGTTATTTAAGAGCCAACGAGAGTAATGATAGCTGGCAATAATTGTGACGGTAGTCGAATACGAATATTCGATAGAGATGATAAAAGTTGAAAGTCTATCATTCATCGATAAGAGTGACATGATGACTAGTCAAGAATCTCGAGATTAAAAGGCTAAAGAGTAGAGACACTAAAAATATTTCCTGTGTTTGTTTTAGAAACTAGCAAGAAAAGCCGCTTACGTTATAGAAAAAATATATTTTTTAATAATTGATAAAATAATAAAAAAAATATATATACTATAATAAGAGATAATATGTAATAATAAAGATAAAATAGTCTATCGATATTTATGCATTCAGAGATCTGAATACCCTTACTGCTATTGCTCTTTTTTCTGCCAGCTTTAATCTGATTTTTATTTTTGTTTATAACCCTAAAGAAAGTCATATAGAAGTAGACGGGGAGGCCAGGTATTAAAAATAAATGAATCATTGGCTTCATCATCTGGCGTATTTGTTGTTTGAAATGCTGATTTGTGGATTGGACATCTTTGGGATTTGTAGTGGCGGCATTAAAGCTGTGCGACCTGCACAGCTGAACTTCAATTGAAAACTTTTGTCAAATTAATTAATTAAACTACGTAGAAGCAGAAGAAGAAGCAGCAGCAACAGCATCGACAACAACAATAACAACAGTGACATTAATAATGGAAAGGCGTCCGGTTGAAGTCAGCAGAGGACATGGCTCAAACTTGTTGGCAGCCAACAGACAAACAAACAACAGTTGGCAGCATAGAAATAGCATTGCCAACTCAAATGGCGCAAAAGTTGTAAAGTTCAACGTGCAACTTTGTAGGCCGACGCCTGGCACAGGCCGGCCGGTGGTAGAGTCCGGCACAGGGGGTTAATGGGTTGGCGGTGGGCAGACACAGGGTCTTCTTCGACAGGGCTCGTAAAGTTTTTGACTGTGGCAACGCTTAAAGGCATCTTTTTAAAGCGTTTAGTGTTCCGTGCTGTGCTCCATTTCAATTTCAGGCACATAAAAATCAACGCCACGGCATTGTAATTAGTGCTGGGCTGTTTGGCCACGCCCCACTTAGATAGAAGGGCGGTTGGGTGGGTCGCACCCCTCTACCCCACCGACTTTGGCAAATAGTTGAAAAGTTGTGAACTCGGGAACGGACGGCTATCATTTTCGCATTGAACGCTACTCGGTTATGAGTGAGCGCGCGCCCCACGCAAATCAACCGTTAGACAGGGGCAGGGCGGGGGCTGCTAGGAAACTTGGGAGCGGTGATAAGCGCATTTGCTTGTTTATCAAGTCAGGCGATGCGAGCCGTAAAAGTTTTGCTCACTGTCAGGCAGGCGGCTAGCCAGCTAACAAACAGCCTGGCAGGAGGCCAGCAGGAGGCTGGTTTACTGTGAAGAAGACAGCAGCACTTCAAGTCATTAGGCAAGTAACTAACCTTTTGTTTATGGCTGCTGAATTTCTATAATAACAATTATGAAAATTAGGCGAAGCGAGTAGATGCATGGAGAGTGTGGGGGTAGGGGGTGGGTGTATGATGGCGAGTTTTGGTTTCGCGCTTGGAGCCGCCATTGTTTTGACGGTTAATTACGTTTCTGCCAAATAGGCAGAAAAGATGCGGCCCAGCGCAAAATATGCTCGCTCCCAAAATGAAACGAGTCATCGAGGCTGAATCTGAATCCGAATTTAAGGCGTGCGCCCGACAGCTTCATAACGTAATATTAGTCTCTATTCTCTATTACTTACTAATTGTGTTGTCATTTGGCAATAAACGTGTGGACTCACCTGTAAAGAAGCGGAAGAAGAAGAATGGAAAACGAATCGATTAGTATATTTAATCTTGCATAATTATTATTTTTGCCATTTGTTGGCATTTCAGTGTGTGCAAATCTTTTGAGCAATCAATTCTAATTAAGCTGGGCCCTAATCAGTTTTTGTGGTGCGCATCAGCAACAGCAGCAACAGCAAAAACAACAACAACGGCAACGACAACGTCATCATCAGCGATAGCCACAAAAACCACATTAAATGCGATTAATTATGAACTTAATTAGCAAAGTAATAAAAAATAAAGTGCAGCGATTTGACCCGCTAATCTTATAGCTCTAGCTGTTTGTTGTTGTTGTTGTTGTTGCTATTGAAATTGCTGTGGTTCACAGTGCGCTGCAGGTCAAATAAATCCCTTTTAATTAAGAGATAAACAGAAGCAATTAAATTATTAATTATGCGCACAAACACTCATAGAAATATTGCATACTTTATGGGGCGCAAACAACACACGCACACACACACACACACACACACACATGCACAATTACAAACATTAACTAGCAGACCCCATGTACGATTCACATAAATCAATAGCTTGCACTTAAAGCTGCTAATTGTTGCTAAATAAACGCACATAAAAGCAGAGTTAAACATTTATTGTATATACCATAAGGTTTAAGCACAGGGCATACGCTGGCCAGAGCTATTAATAATGTGGGACGTCCGTAAATAAAACGATGAACTACAAACAAAAGCACCAACAGTGCAGATACTCTAGGCGCACTGAGGGATTTCCCTAGAACAAGTAAATCTGAGCAACTATAGAGGAAGAGAGTTTGTTTTTATCTGTAAGCCTTGAGAATTGCAGAGATAGGTTGTATATATTTTACATATACATATATATATATATTACAAATGTCCAAAAGTGTAGATACTCTGGTTGGAATTGAGAGTGGATTAGACAAATTATAGAAAAGTAATCGGAGCAAGTAGAATGAATTATCTGTAAGTCATGAGAATTGCAGAGAAAGGTAATATATGTATGTATATATATAACAAATATCTAAAGTGCAGATGGTTTTGTAGTTGAGGGTGGATTAGGGAAAGTATAGAAAAGAACTCTATACCTGTAAGCCATGAGAATTGCAGAGAAAGGTTGTAGATATTTAAAATATATAGATTATATATTATTAGTAATTATTAGCAAAGAGGCAATCGGAGCAACTAGAATGACTTAAGCTAAAATGAAACACAAGCTCTTAACCTGTAAGTCATGAGAATCGCAGAGAAAGGTACTATTTACTTTCTATAATGCACATTTACATAAATGTATTTAAACCAGCCCATCCATCGCTCATAGCTACAGGGTATAGTACAATTCAGAGTCCATTGGGCGTTGGGACTTTGCTGAATTATCGATCATCATTAGTCAGGCTGAATCGAAAGGGCGCCGCTGCTAGATATGTTTGCACTAATTAATTTCCTATAGAGCCTAGTCAGCCAGTAATCAACGCTCACACTCACACACAGCACACACACACACACATACACGCACAGCTGTGATTTGAGGGAATATTGTATTGTGACGATTGCATTTGCAAATTTTCACATGCAATGCGATTATGCATATGCGTGTTTTTGATTTTCGTACTTCGCTCTGCATATGTTAATGCAATATTCATGTGGACTGTGGACCCAAAATAGACAGAAGCTAGACCTGGTGGCTGGGTGGTTGGGTGGTTGGTGGGTGGGTTTTTGGCATGAAATTGCTGACAAATTGTTGTTACTATTTGATAAATCGCAGCTTATTGACCACGCAGCTGACCGGACGCAAACTATGTAAGCCCGGGAAAACCAAGTCAAATGTCATTTGGTGGCACAGCAGCAACAGCAACAGCAGCAGCAGCAACAACAACTACCACAAAAGAGCTTTGGCTGTTTTGCTGACCTTTTGCATAATGAAAGTAACATTGTGGCTGCCATTTTGTGGTTTGACAAATGTTGTGTCAAATTCGGCTACACAGCCGCAAAACACACAACCGCACAAAGATAGCGCCAGACGAGACCGGGCGAACAACTTTGTCAACAGCTAATGGACTCACTCACACACACACACACACACGCACGCACACACATATACCGAGAGAAAGAGAAAAATTAGCCATGGTCGCACTTTTTGTAGGTGCAACAACAGCAACAGAAGTGGCCACATGACATGAAGCACCAAAGCGATAGAAAGAGGTAGAGAGAGAGTCGACAAGGACTACGTAACGGACACGAGCATGCCACACATGGCTCATGTTAGACTTGCCAAACAGAGTGAGCGACCACCAACAGTTGACCATAGCGGCAACCACTGCTGATGACAGCAACAATATCATCAGCGTCAGCAGCAGGAGCAGCAGCAGCCAGAGCAGCAGCAACAGCGGAGGCGTTTGGCCAGTTGCAACATGAGCCACATTAAAAAACATTAAACCAGAAATCACTTTGCACCACGTCGTTTGTTGTGTGAGCGTTGAGGTTGCACACTAGCTACACCGTGCCGAGGAGCTGCTAGGATTCGAGGGCCGGACGAGCTGAGGGGCGTCATTTGAATCCACAAAATGCGGCTTACTTAGGCGCACAACTGATGATGACGATGATGACGAAGGCGATGATGATGCTGATGATGATGTCGTTCGTCGGTTGCTCGCTTTTTAACCAGCTAGCCATTGGACAGCCAACGGGTTGTCCTGGCAATGATTTGTTGGCTTTTGCGCGGCTAGAAGCTAGCCAGCCAGCCAGAGCAGGGCAGACCAGGCCAGGCCAGGCCAGCCTTGGCATCCAGCCTGGCAGTCGCCGAAACATTGTCTAAATACCACAACAATGAGCCAAAGCTGGAGCACACTAGCCACGTCATCGCATTACCAAAGGCTGCTCTCGCCGTAAATGTAATCCTAGGTAGCCCGCCCTAGCCTCCCCCCCAACCCTTCACTTGCTGACTTGTTACACTCCATTTATTTTTCACTCCCTTTGGCTTGCCTGGCTGTGTAAACAAATCTAGCACGCAAGTGGCCAAAGGGCGTTCGGGGTGCGGCAAATGCGACCAAATGCATTTGCCAGCCAACTGTGGCACATCCAATGCACTTTTTAGGCTAAATGCGATTGTTGTTGCTTGGTTCCACTTTTCGAGCACTTTGCAAGCCAGCCTCTATCAGCCATGGACCAGGAGAGACTCTGGCCCCCTCATTTGCATATTTGAGCGGCGAGACGCGCTGCCTCTGCCAGCCTTCAGAGTGTTTACTATATATAGCTGTCTGTTGTCTGTTGTCGGCGTCCTTGCCAGAAGCTAATGCAAGAGTTTGGCCGTTTGGGGGCACATCAAGTTCACCAGCCGCGCCAGAGGTGAAGTGGGCATAAAAACTTGTCTGAACAACAACTTTATATATAATTCGAGACTCAAAATATTAGCTCAGAGATCGAGCTTTATTTAAGCTTTGTTTTGCTTTGCACTTACTGCATGAAAAGCCTCTAAATGTTGAGTAAACTTCATTCAGATTTCAAGTTAAATTTAGCTTTGGCTTCCGATAAATTCTAAATAGGTAGAAAATGCAAAAGTTCAAAGGAAATAAATATGCATGAATTGAAATGGAATTGCTTGACGAAATATATTTCACCCAAGAACAAGTCAACAGACTAAACAAACAATGCGGCTAACAGGGCGGGTAAATAATATGCGACAAGAAGTGCATTTACAAAAGAAGCTGAAGCAGAAATTATTTAAATCAGCAACAGAAACAAACATTACAAAATATTGTTGAATAAAATAAAAGGCAAATACAATTTGCCCATAAACAAACACACACACATACACACATACATATGCATATGAAAAACTCCGAGTCACACAATGATTAGAGAGCTACAGGTCAGGGGCGGCGGCTGTGGGGGAGGATTCGCAGACTTGTGCAGCATCATCTCGGCGAACGAGTCGGACGTCAGAAAGTTTTGTGCGCTTTTGCATGCGAAATTTTTGGGATTTATGCCGAAAAATGCATAAATAACTGTTAATATTTAATATTGTTAACTTGTAAATTTTAAATGAAATATGTGTGGAGCAGCCATGTGGAAGAGAGCATGTTGACGAGCATGACGACAACGGCTGCTGCTGCTGCTGTTGCCACTGCTGCTCCGGTCAGCATAGGTCAGGACATGGCCCGGCACATGAATTATGCAGTTTTTAACAAAAATGCCACATGGCTTACTACTCCACACACACACACTCACACACACACCGCGACAGTATAAGAGAGAGACAGAGATACATGCTCCTAGTTCTAGCCGAGAACGACATGGCAAAAGTTTAATTGTTTCTACTGCTGACTCGACAAATGTTATTTGAATTTCTGTATTTTATTTCGCTTTTGCATTTTACATGCGCAATTATTCGGTAAAACTCTTGCGGCGCAGCAAACATGTCAAATTAGAAACAGTTCTGTCAGTTACTTCATTTGAATGACATCATCAGCAATCAGAAATGATGTTGATGTTGATGCTGTTAGAGCAGCGACGAGTATGCGCGGAATTTGCATAATTAACAAAGTACATAAGCTCTGAAGTGTCGCCAGACAGACATTGCCTCTATAAGCATACACCACAGAGACTTAATGAAAATAGAAATGAAATATAAGAGTTGCTTCAATACTCTCAGTCGATAATTTGTACCACACTAAATCGAAAATCGTGATGAATCGAAAAAATTCGATCACCTTGAGAAAAATGAGTTCTCGATAATTATCGATCAATTGAATTTCTGTGTAAATTATTATTTCTGTGTAAATTATTATCGGGACTCGATTTTATTTTTTTCTTAAGCTCAATGAACATTGACCTGACGATGCCTTATAAAAATTCTGTAATTTATTCACACAGATTTTCGATGCAAATAATTAAAATTTAAGGCAATTCAAGGGGATTACATTTTCATTTTTGCCCACAAAAATAAACGAAAAGAATTATACAAAAAAACCATTGAT